CAAATAGAGCCGCGCTCTTCTCAATCCACCGATCACGGGCATCTCCTTCCTCCGGCATCTTCTCCTCCCCCATCGCAATCTTCAGCAGCTTGTAGCGTTTGAAAGCACTTCGCATCCGCCCACTTCATTCCTCATAGTTGGAGTCATCCAAAGCCTCGATCTTGGACGGTAGCGGTTCACTCTTCTTGTCAGCTGCATCTCCACTCCCTTGGCTCAACTTTTTCGCTCCCAATCACAGGGTTCAGCTCCCCCTTTTGCTGGTCACAATATAGATCCACAAAATCTTCACAAGTATCGGCGCCAACGAAATTTCGGCAGAGTTTCTCCTTAGTAGAAGTTACATCCAACCTTCAAAACACCACTTAAACACGCCCACAGGCCATGGTGGGTCTAGAAGGGTCTTAATACCTCAGTATACTCCTCACAAAGTCCTCAATCAGCTCTGATACCACTTGTTATGGATTAAGGACGAAGTCTAGAATTTTTAGGGGCCGAAATATATCAAAATCGTTGGTCCATAATTCTGGACAGAAACGTCGTCGTCACAAGAAACGCCGTCGACAAAAAACGCACTGTTAAAATATGTAGCCCTTGACTAAGGCTACCTTTCCCAATTTGAATCGTATCATATAGTGGAGTGTAACTCGAGTTATGATTTCGGCGCACTAGGGGGTATGCTGCCACAGTAACTTAACCCAATCACAATAATCTCGAGGATTAATACACAAGGAAGTTGGAACCAGGTAGGAGGGAAGAGTAGGACAAGAGGGAAGGTCCCATGGGAATCCCCAACCAAGGAAACCCCATACCACCCAATTCCCCTCTCTATAGGCACCCCAACTTTGACATTTGTCATTTTCCCAACCCATGTTATCCACCTCACCCAACTTGGCCACACTTGCCAACTTGGTTTGGCTTCTCCCAACCACTTGGCATCATCTACAGTAATGGGGACGAATTTCTCAACCCCCAACAGTCTATACCCCTTATAGAGGCAACCCCACAACTTCCCATAGTCGTCGCATCACAAACAAAACTCCGAACGATCATAACTTTCTCGTTCTTGCTCCGATCGCGACGATTCTTGGTTTGTCGGAAAGCTATTGAGCAGAGAAGTCAATTAAGACTTTAGTTCGAGCAAGATGAAATTCACACACACTCAAAAAGTCCAAACCATGCCGAACAAAAATTCTTGCACACGCTCACACCACGCATGCAATGCACGAACATATGATGGGAGGCAGATATACGTCAATGCGAATGATAGCCTCACATAACAGCAGACTGTCCTTCGGGTGGACAACAATCGCCGAGGGTCTAGGGCTATAGGGAAACCTCTGTCAACGGGAGTTGTGGTTAACCCCGTCCTCGCTTAGGCCGAGCCGGCTTCTGGTCGGGTGTGCGGGAGTTGCAGCTGACCTGGAGTAGTAGGCGAGCTGGTCGGCGGGACTGGTCGACCTGCATGGGGGCCACTGCAAGGGCGCCGACTTCGGGAGGGCGCCAACTTCGGGTAATCAACTTGGGAAGTCGACCGGTGGAGGCCGTTGACTTCGTGACACCGACTTGGGGCAGCCGACTTGGGTGGTTGGCTGACAGGTGTGCTGGTCGACCTGGAGTTGGTCGACTAAGAGTGTTGTCGACCTGCGGCTGGTCGACCAAGGTGTGATCAACTTGGTGAGGTCGAATGGAAGTGGTCGTCGACTCGGGTGGTCAACGGGCACGCGCAGGAGCAGCTGGTCGACGTGGTTGCCCAGTCGACCAGGTTACCTGGGTGACGAGGTTCTGCGGAGGAATGTGACGGTCGCCCGTGTGGTTTTGGTGAGACCGACCTCGGTGGTGGCATCCCGAGGTCGACGTAGCTGATCAAAAGTAGTAGTTAGCACAAGGAAGATTTGGTGCGTGCGCTGTGCAGGTCACGAGGCAGAGCACGCCAATCATCAGCGAGCACCTGCGACGCCGTTGGAGGACTACCCCGACCTGTGTGCAGAGTTCCGCGTTGTGCAGCTGCTGACCTTCACAGTCATCTCGCGGTGCTGCTTGCCGGGTGTGCAAATTGCCCTAAAGCCGTGCAGAGACTACCTTGACGCCGGCCACCAGGCGTGGCACTTCACTGAGTCGACATACAAGGTCACCAACGATCTGTACATCGGCCGGCTCGAGGAGCAGATGACGCACCTGCGGATGGGCGACGAGGAGACGGCGACTGACTACTGCAACCACGCACGACGAATTCTCGCCACCATGAGGATGTCCCGCGTGAAGTACTCGATGGCGTCGTACATCACCCTCGTCCTGAAGGGGCTAGCAAGCAGCTACAACTTGATGAAGCGGATGTCGGTGGGTGCCGAGCACGAGGATTCCCTGACCTCGTATATTCTCCGGGACGAAGCGATGCAGGAGGCCGAGCGGTCCTTGGAGCTCCTGCCGCAGGTGAACTACGGGGCCCCGGCGAAGCAAGGTGGTCAACCAGGATAGCGCAGGCAACCTGGGGGTAGTAGAAGCAGTGGCGGTAGACGGAACAAGGACGCCGACAAGCAGAAGCCGGCCAAGGACAGCGGTCGAGGAGGAGGAAGTCGACGCCGGAAGTGCTGGATCTACCAAAGCCTCGACCACCTCACCTTCGAGTGCGTCAACCGCAGTAACTCCGACGACGATGACGCCAAGAGCAGCCGCGGAAGATCGGCCAGCCGTCGTCCACGTCGAGGTAACAAGCCGCGCAAGGAGAAGCAGTCGAGTAAGTCGACATCGGCGAAGGACGCCGACTCCTTTGCTGGCGGCAAGGGGCGAGACGACAAGGAGGCATCGTGCTCGCTGGTCAGTGTCGTGGAGCCGACTGTCTTGCTGGCGCCGGAGGCTGTCGAGGACTTCCAGGCGATGGCGGTGGCTGTACAGGCAAACCCGGCAGTGGTCCTGCTCGCCAGCGGCTGCTCACATCACCTGATGGGGACGAAGGAGGCCTTCGTCGACCTGCAGTCGAGCGGCAACGTCAAGCATGTGCGCGGCTTCAACGGGGCGCTGTAGGTCGTCCATGGCCGGGGCATGGTCGCCTTGCAAGGGGAGGCCAGGAAGCAGGTGCTGATTCTCAATGTGCTCTACGTCCCGAGCGTGCACGCGAATCTGCTGTCGGCCGGCCAGCTGAAGGAGAACAGCGTGAAGCTGAAGGACGATGGCGACGGGATGTTGCTCGTCATGGCGGCAGGGGACGTCCTCAGTCGGGCGTTCTACACCCGCCGGGTCCTCTGCACCGACTTGCGTCCCTGCTCAACAAAGTCAATGACGTGCTCGACGGAGGTGGTGGCCCTGCGGGCCATCGTCTCAGCGACGAAGTTGACAACGGACAAACTACATGCGAGACTCGTGCACGTCGCCATGGACACCATCCGGAGCTCGGCGAAGCACGGGGTCGCCATTGGGCTGAACTTCAAGTCAGCGTCTGGCGCTGACTCACAGCGTGTCTCGTGCGTCAGTGGGAAGCTGGTGCGGCACAGCTTCCCCGACCAGGGCTCCGACGCTGACGACTTGCTGGCCGTCGTGCACATCGACTTGTGCGGGCCGTTCCGCATAGCGGCCAAGGACGGTAGCCTCTACTTCTTGCTGCTGAAGGACAGGAAGACCCGCTATATGTGGGTGACGCCGGTCGCCAAGAAGTCGGACGTGCTGCAGGAATTCCAGAAGTGGCTGGAATGCAAGTTGCAGGAGTTTTTTTTAATTATTATTTTTTGCAATGCAAATTACACTATAAAAGCGCATACAAGCGTTAACAGTCGTAACTGTAGCTGATGGGCCCAGACAGTAGCTTGCCATCGTACCCATCCTGAAAACTTATGGGGGACGGAAGATCGTCTGCGGATTGGCCCAGATGGAGGTAAAACCACCGGTCCACGCAAGCGATTTAGCCGAGCTGTCACATACCCTGCTCATGAGACGAAATTCGTCCGGATCCAACCGCTCCAGGATGGAACATTGCCCCGGCCCCAGCATGATTCCCGCCCATTTGCTTCTCTTCTTTGCCCAAAGGTAAACCCTCGTACGAGTGTAGAAGGCCGCCGCAATCTTATGAAACTCCACCCATTGTCAAACACTATATGTGTTATTGTTGTGTAGGCTATAGTGGGTTAGTCTTTAGGGGGTACACAAACTAGGGCTTCCTACTTGTACTCCAAACTTTCATAGTGCAATCACTTCTTCTTCGTAACATGGTATCAGAGCAGGTCCTCCGTTAGGACCGATTCTTAGGGCCCACCACTACTGCTGCCTACTAGCGCCCTCGTGCGCCCTACTGTCGGAGCGCCCTCGAGCGCCTCCCCCCCTAGCGCCCTCGTGCGCCTCGTTTTCACGGACCCCTAAGGCCCCGCGACCCGCGACCCGCCCCCCCCTTAGCGACTCGCGCGCCACCCCTTAGAGGCCCCGTCGACCCCGCGCGCCGCCCCTTAGAGGCCCCGCTGGCCCCGCTTAGAGGCCCCGTCGGCCCCCTATACCCTGCGTGCGCCCACCCCTTAGCGGCCCCGTCGGCCCCGTCGACCCCACGCGACGCCCCTTAGCGGCCCCGCTGGCCCCGTCGACCCCGCGCGCCGCCCCCTTAGAGACCCCAGCAGGCCCCGTCGACCCCACGCGCCGCCCCTTAGCGGCCCCACTGGCCCCGTCGACCCCGCGCTCGACCCCCTTAGAGGCCCCATCGGCCCCGTTTGCCCCGCGCGCGCCCACTCTTTAGCGGCCCCGTCGGCCCCCCCCTCGACCCACGCGCCGCCCCTTAGCACCCCGCCGCGACACCCACGGCCCCGCCACAACGAGCCGCCCGAACCGAGCAGCCCGAACCGAGCCCCCCAGCCCAAACCGAGCCACCCGAACCGAGCCGCCCAGCCCGAACCGAGCCGCGCCGCCCGAACCGAGCCGCGCCGCCCATACTGGACCGAGCCGCCCTACCTGAGTCGCACTGCCTACTGTTTTGAGGGTGCACCTACTGCTGCTACTGCTACTCTACTGCTACTCCTACTACTGCTATGGCTAGCCCTCCTGTGCTAGCTTTTGATGCTGAGGGCCGCCCAGTGAAGTTCGAAACCTGGCTAGATGACCTACACCTCTTCCTACAGCTCACTGCCAAGGAGGACATCTCACTGTACGATCACGCCCTAGGCCATGCTACTGCTCCTGCTGCTACTGCTGACAGCACTGCCCGCTCACAGTGGCAGACTCGTGACGCCCACGCTTCCTTTGCTATTCGCAACTCCCTGCCGATAGACGAGCGCGAGCACTTTGGCCAGCACAAGACTGCACAGGCACTGTACACCGCTGTCGTTGCCCGCTACTCCTCACCTGCCTCTGCCGCGCTAGGCCGTCTCTCACTCCCCTACCTGTTTCCCGACCTGGCCTCGTTCCACACAGTCGCTGACCTCATCACGCACCTCCGTACTAGTGAGGCCCGCTTCCGTGCCGCCATGCTCGATGAGTTTCTTGCCAAGAACCCTCCCCCGCTCTCGCTCATTCTTTACCACCTAGTCACCCGCCTCCCTGACACTCTGCGTGCTCTCAGGGATCACTTCCTAGCTCGCTGCCCCACTGAGCTCACCATTGCCCTTCTTGAGAAGGAATTGCTTGCAGGTGAGGCTAGCATAGTCGCTGTAGGTGCCTCTCGTGGCGACCCCCGCACCCCTTTCTTTGAGGGGTGTTCCCCTTCCCCCCTTCTTCCCTCTATAGCCTCTGCTTCTGCTGTCGACCTCCTTGGTTCTGGGAAGGTCGGGGCTGCGTCTGCTCTGAGCGGGCGCCGCAGCGGTAAGGGAAAAGGGGGCAAGGGAGGCGAAGGTGACGGCGAGGGAGGCGGTGGTGGGGGTGGTGGCGGCGGTGGGGGTGGTGGTGGGAATGGTGGGGCTAGTGGCAGCGGTGTGGGTGGTGTCGGCAGCGGCGGGGGAGGTGGCAGGGGCGGGGGCGGTGGTGGGGGCGGCGGTGGACGCGGCGGCGGCAAGGGAGGAGGTGGTCAAGGAGGTGGCGGCGGCGGTGGTGGTCGTGGAGGCACTGGCGGTGGCCAGAGCCTGCAGCACTCTCCGTCGCCCCAGGAGCTCCGTGAGTGGTACGCTCAGCACGGGGGGGGGGGGGGGGGGGATGGCCTTAGCTGCACGTACGTCATCCGCACTTGTGACCGCACTGGTCAGACGTGTGGGAGGGCGCACCCCACGCAGCGCTGCTTCTCACGCTTCGACGACGCTTGGCGTACTTAGTTCCCTGACGCCACTGAGCTGCCCCGCTATGCTGATCTGATGAAGCAAAACATTGATATCTTTGCTCTAGACTTCGATGCTATTCTCTCTGCCATGTATGTGATGTCTATTAGTGGAGAGGGTGCCCAGTACCTGCGTGTTCCGCCCGACCCGGGCATTCGACCCGGTCAGGCTACCGCTCTAGGTGCTAGAGTGTCTGCTACCCCAGGTGCTGGTGAGGCTGCTGCTCTAGGTGCTGGTGCGTCTGCGCCCCCTGGTACTTAGTCGACTGAGGCACTGCACACCTTTACACTAGACTCAGGTGCCTCCCGCTGTTTCTTTCGTGACCACATGGCTCTCGAGCAGCTTGCTCGGCCCGTTGCAGTCTCTCTCGCTGACTCCCCTAGGGGTCCAGTCCTTACGACCTCCTCCACTGTCCTCCCCTGTCCGGCCGTCCCATCGGGCATACTGTCCGGTCTCTACCTCCCCTCGTTCTCTACAAACTTGGTGGCGGGTAGTGCGCTCCAGGACATGGGTGTCCACCAGTTCACACCTGCCTACGAGCGCGTGACACACTGCACGTGTGCTCGGACGGGCCGTCACCTGTGCGACCTTCACACGGCAGCCGGGGTCGGACCTGTACACACTGACTATTGAGTCCCCACAGGTAGCTTCGTCTGCGTCTGCGTCAGGTCAGCTCTCGGCCCCCTGCTTGTGCCGCTCTCTGGCGCACGAGACCGTCCCTCTGGCACCACCGACTTGGTCACCCGTCCGTGCAGCGCCTTCGGGCAATGCACAAACGGTACCTTGTCTCTGGTCTTCCCAGGGTTCTCCCCTCCCCTCCCACCCTCACCTGCTCCTCCCTGTCTTCCCTGCGTCGAGGGGCGGCAGCGCGCTGCTCCTCACTCCTCGTTTCCCTCGACGACTGCTCCCTTGCAGACGCTCCTCATGGACGTGTGGGGCCCCGCCCGCGTCCATGGTCAGGGTCAGGAGAGGTACTTCCTGATAGTTGTTAGACGACTACTCGCGCTACACCACGGTCTTCCCCCTTGCGCACCAAGGGTGAGGTCCCTGATGTTTTGATCCCTTGGATCCACGCTTCTCGTCTTCAGCTCAGCGAGCGTTTCCACTCGGACTTTCCTGTCCTGCGCTTGCACTCTGACAGAGGTGGTGAGTTCTCTTCCGACCTCTTGGCAGCCTACTATGAGGAGCACGGAATCTGCCTGTTGTTCACGCTTCCGGCCTCTCCACACCAGAATGGGGTTGCTGAGCGCTGCATTGGCTTGGTCATGGAGGCCGCCCGTACCTCCTTGATCCATGCGGCAGCTCCCCACTTTCTGTGGCCGTTTGCGGTCCGATACGCTGCGCATTAGCTTAACCTCTTGGCCCCGTGTCTCCTTGCCGGAGACCTCCCCAACACTGCGTTCGACGGGAGAGGTTGGCGATGTGTCGCGTTTTCAGGTCTGGGGATCCCGAGCTTTAGTTCGCAATACGCCAGCGGACAAGCTCTCCTCCCACGCTGTTCCGTGTGTCTTCCTAGGCTTTGTTCTGGAGGCGTCTGGTTGGTAGTTTTACCTCCCCACCTCCCGCCGTGTCCGCGCCTCTCAGGACGTCACCTTTGACGAGTCGGTACCCTTCTACCGCCTCTTCCCCTACCGCACTGCCTTGCTCCCTCCCCCGCCTCTCTTCCTCGCCCCAGGTGCTGTTGTGGTAGACCCCCTCCCCCCTCAGGGTGCCGCTCCCTCAGGTGTGTCCCAGGTAGACCCAGTTGAGCCTGTCAAGGTAGCTGTCGACTCTCGTCCTGCTCGGGGTGCTGAGCCTGAGCATGCGGAGCCTGGGGTTGCGGAGACTGAGGGTGCGGAGTCTGGGGGTGCTGAGCCTGGGAGTACGGAGCCTGCTTGTGCTGAGTCTGGGGGTGCTGAGCCTGGGAGTGCTACGGCTGGAAGAGCTCTCTCCTCACAGCAGCTGCGTGAGTGGTACTTACAGTACTGCAGCCTCAGGAGAGGTGCTTCTGGAGCTAGGAGTGCTGCTGGAGCTGGTGCTCGTGCTTCCTCTCCTAGGCGGGAGCTGCCCTCTCCCCAGCGACTTCGTGAGTGGTACGCACGGCGCTGCAGTCTCAGGAGTGGCGCTCCTAGTGTCGAGGACCCTGCTACTGGTGCAGCGGACCCTGGAGTTGGAGTTGCTGCTGCTGCTGCGGACCCGGGCGTTGGAGCTGCTGCTGGTGCTGCGGACCCTGGAGTTGGGGTTGCTACTAGTGCTACGGACCCGGGAGTTGGAGCTGCTGCTGGTGTTGTGGACCCTGGAGTTGGGGCTGCTGCTGGTGCTGCGGACCTGGGCGTTGGAGCTGCACAAGCTGCTGGTTCTGGCGGTGCTGGGGTGTTGCTGGAGCTGCTGGAGGTTTTGGTGCTGTCTCTGCTGCTGCAGGGGGCACCTCGCGGCCGCGACCGTACTTCATTCCACTCCTTCAGCAGGTTCTTGGTCAGTCACCTCAGCCTGGTCCCCCCTCCCTCTGTAGAGTGTCCACCGCCGGTCCAGTCGCAGTCACAGCTACCACCTGCCTCGCCACTTCCTCATCCTTCTCCCTACACTGGTCCTACAGGCGGTCTTACGGAGCGTCATGATCCTGAGTCTCGCCCTGTGTCGCTTGTGTCCCGTCCTGAGTCACCTGTTCGAACTACTTCCACCAGTCGCCGTACTCCGCGTGAGCGTCCGCCACCAGTCCCTGGCACACACCGGATGTCACTGCGTCCCTCCACTGCTCCACAGCGTGTCTCTCTGCCGTCTCCTCCTGAGTCCTCTTTTCCTGCTCTTGTTGACCCTGAATCTGACTCTCTCCGTGCTGCCAGTCCTACTGTCACGCGCCTCCTGGCCACTGCTGACACTGACCCTTCGTTTGAGTCTGCTGCTGCGTCTGCCCTAGTTGCTGAGCTTCTCGACTTTGCTGCTCGCTGTCGTCTAGACTACGCTGCCAGTCTTGTTGCTGAGTCTAAGTGTGTCTGTCCTCCGTCTGTCGGGGGTGAGTGTGCTCTTAGCACGGACGTCCTTGAGGACCGACAGGAGGATCTTGAGTGTCTTGCAGCCGCTGCGCCCCATCTCGTGTCCATGCTAGTTGCCCCTGAGGGAGACCCGGATGCACCAGACATCCCGACTCCTCGATCGTACGCTGAGGTGATCGAGGGTCCCTACTCCTCACACTGGCAGTCAGCCATGGACGCAGAGATGGCCTCCTGGATGTCCACAGGCACCTACGTCGACGAGGTTCCCCCACCTGGGGCGAACATCGTTAGTGGCATGTGGATTTTCAGGGTGAAGCAGCCGCCGGGTTCTCCGCCTGTCTTCAAGGCTCGTTACGTTGCTCGAGGCTTCAGTCAGCGAGAGGGAGTAGACTTCTTTCAGACCTTCTCCCCCACCCCGAAGATGACCACTCTTCGGGTACTACTGCACGTTGCTACTCAGCGCGACTACGAGCTTCACTCTCTTGACTTCAGCACAGCTTTCTTGCAGGGCAGTCTGCACGAGGAGATCTGGCTGCGCCGCCCTCCTGGCTTCACTGGGTCGTTTCCTCCTGGTACCCAGTGGAGCCTCCGGCGGCTGGTCTACGGTCTCCGCCAGGCCCCACGTGAGTGGCATGATACACTGAGGACTACTCTTGCGGCACTTGGGTACTCGCCTTCTACTGCTGACCCCTCACTGTTTCTACGCACCGACACTTCGCTGCCGCCGTTCTACATCCTCGTGTACGTCGACGACTTGGTCTTTGCCACAGCTGACACTGAGTCCCTTGCCCACATGAAGTCGGAGCTGCAGAAGAGACACACGTGCAACGACCTGGGTGAACTGCGCAGCTACCTTGGCTTGCAGATCACCCGGGACAGAGCACGCTGCACCATTACCCTGACTCAGTCACACATGGTGCAGCAGGTCCTTCAGCGCTTCGGCTTCACCTGGTCCTCAGCACAGGCCACTCCTCTGGCTATAGGTCACTCGCTCTCAGCTCTGCCTTCGGATGAGTGCGTAGAGTCGAGTGGTCCTTACCCAGAGCTAGTTGGTTGCCTCATGTACCTGATGACTTGCACTCGTCCTGACCTAGCATACCCTCTTGGCCTTCTGGCTCGCTACGTGGCTCCTGGTCGTCACCGAAAGGTGCACTGGGATGCTGCAAAGAGGGTATTGCGCTACTTGTGCAGTTCATCAGGCATGGGGCTCGTGCTTGGAGGAGGGAGCTCAGTTGTTCTCACTGGGCACTTAGACGCTTCTTGGGTTGACGACCAGGCTACTCAGCGGTCGTCACAGGGTTACACCTTCAGCCTTGGCTGTGGTTCAGTTTTGTGGTGCTCTACGCGTTCGTCTTCAGTTCTCAGCTCCAGTTGTGAGGCTGAGATCTACGCCACAGCCATGGCTGCACAGGAGTTACGCTGGCTCACCTACCTGCTGACCGACCTTGGAGAGCGGCCTAGTTCTCCTCGAGTGCTGTACGTCGACAACAAGGCTGCCATTGCCTTGTGTGAGGAGCACATACTGGAGCACAGAACGAAGCACATCGCTCTCCGTTACTTCCTTGCTCGTGAGGTGCAGCAGCGTGGTCAGCTTCGTCTACGCTACGTGGCCTCTCAGGCCAACACCGCTGATATATTCACCAAGGCACTTCAGTCTGGTGATCATCAGCGCTTCTGTACTTTGTTGGGGCTGGTACCCACTTTGCCTCACTTGTTGTAGGCTTTGCCTGTACTGTGATCTCTATATATACTCCTGCCTGTTTGCTCTGCTAGGCTGAGATCACCTTTGCTGTCTGTACTACTTATATCTAATTTTGCATGTGAACTGGCCATGTGGCCTTTTGCTTGTGCTCGGAGTGTGTGGTAACATTGTGATCCACCCTGAGCTTGCTTGCCTTTCTTGACTGGTCTTGTGACCCCTTGCTCTCCCCCACTTTGCCTATGGGGGTGTGTCAAACACTATATGTGTTATTGTTGTGTAGGCTATAGTGGGTTAGTCTTTAGGGGGTACACAAAGCTAGGGTTTCCTACTTGTACTCCAAACTTTCATAGTGCAATCACTTCTTCTTCGAAACACCCATATCTTATGTAAGGCAATAGCAGTGATCGTTGTCTCAGGAAACTCCAAACCCGAGCCTTCCTTCTAGTACAGCAGATCAACTAGCAAAGTAATCTTCCTGCCTGGATTGATGATACGGAGGGCCTTCAGCAGTCCCTGTACCACAGACTGAATGCGGGTTTGGCCGAACAAGTGCTCTGCTGCCTCTTCCCTACCACACTGCGAGTATGCAACTCTGACCTTAAGGTTGCGACTGCGCTGGCAAGGCAAGACGTCCCGAGCCCAATTTGGAATCACCGCAGAGTCCCGCACCCTGATGACTCTTTCCAGCCAAACTATTTCCCCCACTCCTCCGACCATTTCTCTTGATGTCGCATCAACCTCTGTTGTGCGCCAAACAACATCCTCATGTGCTAAAAAGGGGGATCCGATCCTTTGCGCAAATCTCCGAGCAGCGCAGCCATACCTCAGGCAACCCGATTGCTCCAATCACCCTTCCACCTCTCAATATCAACGGCTCCACCTTGTCCAGATCAAGAACTGCAGTTACTTCCGCAGACCCCACCCGAGACTCTTCGAAACAGTCGCATTCTTGGCAGGCAAGCCCATCTTGCCCCACCATCTCCACCTTCCAAACTCCCACCTCTCCTGTCTTCTTCACGTATGCAAATTCTGCCAAGAGTTCCGCCCCCGTGATTGGCGCCAATAGTTTCTCCTTCCACGAGGCCGGGACGCTACCAAAGAACTTCAGCGCCTTCCGCGCCTTCTTGAGCATACCCAGCTCTTTTTCCAACGCCTTCTCATCCTTGATAAAACGCGTACCGTCATCCGCACGACCAACACAGTCACCAAGCTTCATCACCTCCAGCCCTTTTGCCGTTGCATGACATCCTAGCGGCTTCTTACTGTTGGGCAAGACATGCCGATTGAACACCAGCCGCTCCTGCGCCACATCCCAGCGCAAAACTGGGCCCTTCTTTGCTATGCTTGATTTCATGAACAATTCGCAGGTCTGCTTCCACCTGACGCTTCGACCTTTCCACTCTTACAGGAAATCCGGGTACGCCCAGAAGGAGCGGAAGCGAGCAGGGAGGTCAGCCACCTTCGTCGCCAACCTTCTGCGGACACCACTCCTATTCAACACCAGCTTCCCCGCCCTCCTAGCAGCCAGGCCACTGAGTTCAATGAAAGGATCCCGAACCCCCAGCCCGCCATCCTTCCATGGTCTGAAAATCAGCTCTCTGCTCCAAAGCGTGAACTGGCTCACTTCGGACGCCTAGCTGCTAGAGATAAAATTCACGAGCAACTTCATGATCCGCTTCCACGCCTTATCTGACGGAGGGTAGGCTTGCCCTTGGAATGCCAAGATCGGGCAAACGTAAGCATTGATAACCGCCACCTCCGCTGTTGTGGTCAAGTTCTTTGACTGCCATTTCACGAGCTCCTCCGCCGCTCTGGCCAGCATCTTATCCCAGGTAACTTTTACACTTCCTGACGGGGAGACCCAGACTCCCAAGAGCCTCTCCGCTTTTCTTGATTCAATCCGCACGAAGAATGACCCCTCGCCTCTTCTTTCTTATGGGTTATTCCCCTGTGGGAGTAAAGCAGACTTGTCCTTGTTAACAGTGAGGCCAGAACGGGCCCCGAACTCCTCCAAAAGTTTCTCTGCACGACCGATTTGCCGTTTCCCCTTCAGCACAAGCGTTGTGTCATCAGCATAACCAAGGTAAGCTAGCCTATCTCCGTAATCATCATAGATGCCTAATTTTCTCTTTTTTGCCTCCTGGCAGAGTGGCTCCACTGCACACAGGAAGAGGTAGGGCGCCAGTGGGCACCCTTGCCAGACTCCCTTGTGCACATCAACTCGATCTCCCAACTAGCCGTTAACCAGGAGCCGAGTGAAGGAACCTCCATGCAGTCCTTCACACCAGCGTATGAATTCAGCCGGGAAACCCATTAGCGCTTTTGTGCCGAAGAGAAACGACCGTGACACGGAATCGAAGGCCTTCTGAAAATTACAGGAGGTACCAGTCCCCCCTGCCATTGTTCGCCGCCTCAATCACTTCCGCGACTGTCGATATTGCATCAGACAGCAGCCTGCCCGGGATGAAGCCGTGCTGCTCCTCTGAAATAACGATACGCAGCACCTTCTTCATGCGATTGGCTAGCAGCCTCACGACCACTTTGTAAAAGCTCGTTTGCAAGGTGATCGGGCAGTAGTTTTGTACTTGCTCCTTTGGACCTTTCTTATGCAACAGGATCGTCATCGCCTCCTACACTTCCTCCGGTAGGAACGCCGATGATTCAAACTGCTTGATGAAACCCATGAAATCCCCCCTCAACAGGTCCCAGTGGTACTCGAAGAGCTCCTTTGGCAGCCCGTCGCTGCCCGGGGATTTGTCGCACGCCATGTTCTTTAGTGCTTCTTTTACCTCCTCCTCCGACCAATCTGCATCAAGGCCAGCTTTCTCTTCATCCCGAAGCGTTTTCAGCATATCCGGCTTCCAACAAGGCAGACCTGACGGGGGGTTCTCCGCAAATAATGTAGAGTAGAACTGGGAGGCAGCTGCCAGGTTACCCTTCTTTCCTCTCTGTTCCACCCCATGCGAAGACAAAGCAGTGATCATTGTCCGTGACTTCTTCGACTTCACCTTCGCCGAGAGAACCTTCGACGCAATTTCACCCTTCATCTCCTCTTTCACCCCTGCAAAGCAATGCAATCTGTCATTTTCCCCTTTCAAATACGCGGCCAGCTGCGATTCTTTCTCTGTCAGGAACGTGCGGAGGTCATCCAGGTGAGGGTTCCTCATCAGCTCTTGCTGCAAACCGGAGACCGTTAGCTCCAGGTGATGTAGCGCCACACGCACCCGCTTCCTCTCTTCTGTCGCATATCTCCTGAGTGCATATTTAATCTTGGTAAGAAGGGAGCCAAAGTTCCTTGGGTTCCCTGCTTGATGCCTCTACGTGACCGCTTTGATTACTTTCTCCACCCCTGGTTTTGCCGTGTCAGCAGATGGCATTTGCCAGATGCCCGGCCCCATGTGCAACCTCAAGTTCGCCTGCAGCACCACCTTAGCACCGCACTTGTGGTCCGAGATGCCTCCCAACGAGCGTGTATGACACGCCTCAACCAACGAGGGCAGCAACTCAGCCGACACCAGTATCCGATCAATCCTCGAGCTTGATATTGTTGCCCTTGCGAAAAGGGTATACTCGCGACTGCCCGGATTAAGCGTCCGGAACGTATCTGCCATGTGAAGACCGCTGAACAGATTTAGCTGCAGCATCCTGTCATTTTCCTCGGACGAGCCACCTCCCAGGGACTTGTCGAGGATTGGGTCTTCCACAACATTGAGGTCGCCCGCCAGCAGCAGCTTACCCCGATCACTCAGACCCGTAAGGAAGGGGCCCAACATGTCCATGAAAAGGGTAACCCTGTTCCACGCGCTTGCCGGAAATTACGCTGCAAGAATCGTAAAGTTGAGGGTGTCCCATCTCACATCCGCTTGCACAAGCCTCCCCGAAACATGGGAGATTACATTCTCAAAGACTAACTGTTTGTTGTTGCTGACAATTGCCACTCCTCCAGCTCTCTCCACGTTAGCTACCACAAAAAAATGGGGAAAATTTAGCCGCTTCCAACACTCATGGTCCGAGGCTACCCTTGTGTCTGTAAAAACAAAATTGTCCGCATCCTTCCTTGTCCACCTTTTCAGGTTCCGTTGCTTTCCTTTGCTCTCGAGCCCATTGATGTTGAGCTCACACATCGACAACTTGCTGGGCTTATCCATTAATCAACACGGTGGGAGCCCGAAAGCATCCACGCGCTGGAGAAAAGTGTCTGAAATAGAACAAGTTACCACTATAAAGCATTGCATACAACCTTGAAGCACTTCCAAACACATCTGCTTTCGTCTCTCCCCTCCTTGCAGCGATACTATTTAAATCACGTACTCCTTGCGCAGCACGCGAAGGTTCAGCTTGTCCTTGAGAGCGCGCGTCGCAGCCCCCTGTTTCGTCAGCCCCCCCCCCCCCCCCCCCCCGCCCCCGATGACGCTAGGACAGCACATGATGAGCGGCTTGCTCGAAAGAGGAGCCTTTTGAGAAAAGAGAACGAGAATGGAATGACTAAGGGAAAGTTGGGTACAAGTACAAACCCCAGAAAGTTGTACCCCATATGTGCTACCCCACTATAGCCTACAGTAGCTATGTCATATAAATCTGACACACCCCCATAGGCAAAGTGGGGGAGAACAAGGGGTCACAAGACCAGTCAAGCAAAGCAAAGCAAGCTGAGGGTGGATCACAAAGTCACCACACATTCCGAGCACAAGTTCAAGGCCACAAGGCCAGTTCACATGCAAGATTACATATATATATATAAGGCTAGACAAGCAAGAGCAGGTAGGTGAGCCAGCGAAGCTCCTGTGCAGCCATGGCCCCGGCGTAGATCTCAGCCTCACAACTAGAGCCGAGAACAGAAGACAAGCGGGTAGCCCGCCACGAAACAGAGCCGGAACCAAGGCTGAAGGTGTAACCCTGTGACGACCGCTGCGTAGCCTGGTCGTCAGCCCAAGAAGCGTCTGCGTGCCCAGTGAGGACCACTGAACTCTGCCCTCCAAGCACTAGCCCCATGCCCGACGTACTGCACAAGTAGCGCAACACCCTCTTCGCTGCAGCCATGTGCTCCGGTCTGTGTCTCCCAGGAGCAACATAGCGTGCGAGAATGCTAAGAGGGTATGCAAGGTCAGGTCGTGTGCAGGTCATCAGGTACATGAGGCAGCCAACAAGCTCTGGTTACGGGCCACTCGACTCTACGGACTCATCCGAAGGCAGAGCTGAGAGCGAGTGGCGAGTAGACAGAGGAGTGGCCTGAGGCGAGGAGTACGTGAAGCCGAAGCGCTGAAGGACCTGCTGCACCATGTGTGACTGAGTCAGGGTAATGGTGCGGCGTGCTCCGTCTCGGGTGATCTGCAAGCCAAGGTAGCTGCGCAGCTCACCCAGGTCAGTGCACGTGTTTCTCTTCTGCAGCTCGAACTTCACGTGGGCGAGTCCAGCAGTGTCAGCTGTGGCAAAGACCAAGTCGTCGATGTACACGACGATGTAGAACGGCGGCAAAGAAGTGTCGGTACGCAGAAATAGTGACGGGTCGGCAGTAGAGGGAGCAAACCCAAGAGCCGCAAGTGTAGTCCTCAGTGTGTTGTGCCACTCACGCGGTGCCTGGCCGAGACCGTAGACTGGCCGCCGGAGGCTCCACTGGGTACCAAGAGGGAACGACCCAGTGAAGCCAGGTGGGCGGCGCAGCCAGATCTCCTCGTGCAGACTGCCCTGCAGGAAAGCTGTGCTGAAGTCAAGAGAGTGAAGCTCGTAGTCGCGGTGAGTAGCTATGTGCAGCAGCACCACAAGAGTGGTCATCTTTGGGGTGGGAGAGAAGGTCTGAAAGTAGTCAACTCCCTGCCGCTGACTGAAGCCACGAGCCACGTACCGCGCCTTGAAGACAGGCAGAGAACCCGGCGGCCGCTTCACCCTGAAAATCCACATGCCACTGACGATGTTCGCCCCTGGCGGGGGAACCTCGTCAACGTAGGTGCCTGTAGACTTCCAGGAAGCCATCTCTGTGTCCATATTTGCCTGCCACTGAGAGGAGTAGGGACCCTCTATCGCCTCCGCGTAAGAGCGCGGAGTCGGGATGTCAAGTGCATCCGGGTCTCCCTCGGGGGTAAGCAGTTAGGACACGAGATGAGGTGAAGAAGCAGCCAAACACTGGAACTCCTCTTGCCTGTCCTCAAGGACGTCCGTGCCAAGGGCACACTCACCCCCGACGGACGGAGGACAGACAGACTCAGACTCAGCGACAGGACTAGCAGCGTAGTCTAGACGACAGCGAGCAGCAAAGTCGACGAGCTCAGCAACTAGGGCCGACGCAGCAGTGGACTCAAAGGAAGGGTCAGTGAGGACAGTAGCAAGGAGACGCGTGACAGAAGGACTGGCAGCACGAAGAGAGTCCGACTCCGGGTCAGCAAGAGCAGGAAGAGAGGACTCAGGAGGAGAAGGCAAAGGGGCACGCAGAGGAGCAGTGGACGGACGTAGAGACATCCGGTGCGTGCCAAGGACAGGAGGAGGACGCTGACGCGAACCACGACCACAAGTGGGAGCAGGAGGGACAGGCGATGCAGGGCGAGACGCAGGCTCACGACGCTCAGTAAGACCTCCAGTAGGGCCACTGTAGGGAGAAGGAGCAGGGAGTGGGGAGGCTGGCTGTAACTGTAACTGTGACAGGACAGGCTGCGGACACTCTGCGGGAGGAGGAGGACCAGTAGAAGGCTGGAGACCAAGAACCTGCTGAAGGAGCGGAACGAAGTACGGCCGAGGCCGCGCGGCGACTCCAGACACAGCAGGGACAGCACCAGTACCCCCAGCCGCAGCACCAGCGCCAGCAGCACCCCCAGCTCCAGTACCTCCAGCAGAACCAGTAGCACCCCCAGCAGGACCGCCTCCAGGACCGACAGTAATAGCCTCAGTGCCAACACCCTCAGCAGTTCCAGCTCCTGTCGTACCCGCAGGCCCAGCAGCTCCAGTACTCCCAGTACAAGCACCTCCGGGACCCGCGGCACCAGCACCCTCAGCAACCGAAGAACCTCCAGCTCCAGCAGCACGCCTCCAGCGCCGGGCAAACCACTCGCGCAGCTCCTGTGGAGAGAGTGGCTCCCGCCAAGACGAAGCACCCTGAGAACCTCCAGGCCCAGCACCGCCAGACGCCACACGAGCAGGCCCAGCTCCCTCAGGCTCCGCACCCCCAGGCTCAGCACCTCCAGGCGTAGCACCCCCAGGCTCAGCACCCCCAGGCGTAGCACCCCCAGGCTCAGCACCCCCAGGATCAGCACCCTCAGTGGTAGCACCCCCAGGCTCAGCAACCCCAGTAGTAGCACCCTCAGGCTCAGCACCCCCAGGCGTAGCACCCACACGCTCAGCACCCCCAGAGTCAGCACCCCCAGGCTCAGCACCCTCAGCAGCACCAGAGTCACCAGTAACCTCGACAGGCTCGACTGCGTCTACCTGGGACACACCTGAAGGGGCAGGACCCTCAGGGGGGAGGGGGTCTACCGGGGGGGGACCTGGCACAAGGAAGAGCGGTGGCGGGGGGAGGGACGGAGTGCCGTAAGGGAAGAGACGGTAGTAGGGGACCGACTCGTCAAACGTGACGTTCTGGGAGGACAGAACACGGCGAGAGGTGGGGTGGTAGAACTCCCACCCTGGCGCGTCAAGACGCAAGGAACAGCGCGAGGGGACAGTTTGTCCGCAGACAATTCACGGACAAACGCCTGAGATCCCCAGACACGGAACGCAGACGCATCGCCAACCTTCCCCGTCCACAGCAAAGCTGGGGAGGTCTTCGGCATGGAGACCCTGGGGTGAAGGTTGATCTGATGCGCCGCGTACCGAACCGCAAACGGCCACAGAAAATGGGGGGCAGCCGCATGCATCATGGACGTACGAGCGACATCCATGACCATGCCAATGTGGCGCTCAGCAATCCCATCTTGCTATGGAGATTCCGGAAGCGTGAAGGTCTGGCGGATCCCTCATGCACGACAGTAGGCTCGCAGAAGGCCAGAGGAGAACTCTCCGCCTTTGTCAGAGTGCAGACGCAGAACAGGAAAGTCCGAGCCGAAGCTCTGCCTGAGCTGGAGACGAGCTGCGCGGATCCAGTCGATCAACACCTCAGTGACATCACCCTTGCTGCGCAAGGGGAAGACTGTGGTGTAACGCGAGTAGTCGTCAACCACCAGCAAGAAGTAGCGCTCGTGACCCTGTCCACGAACGCGGGCTGGGCCCCACACGTCCATGTAAAGCGTCTGCAGCGGGGCCTCTGTCGGAGGAAACTGGGAGGAGTGAGGGGCAGCCCGCTGCCGCCCCACGACACAGGGGATGCAGGTAGGGCCAGGCCCTGGAGGAAGGGGAGGGAGGGACCGGGGAAGACCAGAGACAAGGACACGGGAGGCCATGCCTCGGAGACGAAGCAGGGAGGGGTGACCAAGGCGGTGGTGCCAGAGGAGAGTCTCGTGAGACAGGAGGCGACACGAGCAGGGGGCAGACTCAGGACCAGACCTGGACGCTGTAGCAAACACCTGACCCGACGCAGCTACCTGACCAGACGCAGTGGTCAGTGTGTACAGGCTCGACCCTGGCCGACGTGTAAACGTGGCCAGGTCTCGGCCTGTCCGAGCGTCCATGCAGTGGGTCACCCGCTGACTCGCAGGAGTGAACTGTTGAACCCCTGCATCCTGTAGGTCAGCACCACTCACCAAGTTCGTAGAGAACGAGGGGAGGTAAAGACCAGACAGGGTGCCAGAGGGGGCCGCCGGACACGAGTGGACAGTGGAGTATTGAGCAAGGACACGACCCCAAGAGTGGTCTGCCA